GCGAGAGGTGTCGGAAGAGCCGCTTTTAAATGTAGTCCAACGACGTAAGAGATCTAGTGTATCTCACGTGGCCGAAAGAATGAAGAAGAAGCCGAACACTGGTGCTGGCAAAGACAAAGAGGAGGAAGAACCTGAGATCATCTTGAGGGACTCCTTCCTCAAGGTTAATGAGAAAAAGGCGACGAAGTTGACATTGCCGGAAGGCGTGTTTGACCCTTGGTTCTCGATGTTCCAAACGGTCGCTGAGCCAAAAGTGACAATTAACCATCGGGTCCCCAGTGAGGCGGTGAAGGCGGCGAAAGTTCCGCTGATGTCATGGGACACAAAGACTCACGCCGGAATTGCGTCTCTGCCCGACGACCAAAAGTTTAGCTATGCCCGGGGTTTTTTGGGACGGGCACTGGTTAGCTTCATCGCTGCTGAAGAGAGTTATAGGGGCAGAGCGCACGAACTTGATGAGAAGCAGCATGAGCTGAGTTTGAAGGAAGGTGCCATAGCGTCTCTGGAAGACGAGAAGTCTCGTTATGAGGCGACAATATCGGAGAAGGATGCTCAGCTGATGGCGGCGCAAATTGAAGCGAGCGCATTGAAAACTGAAAAGGAAAATCTCTTATTGGCTCATGACCTCATGTCGGTTCAGATGGCTAAAATTGAAGAAACAACTAGAGAAAAAGATGAGCAACTCATGAGGCTGAGGGCTGAGCTTCAAGCTGTCCGCAAGGACCGATCTGAGAAGGACGCCGAACTGATCCGATGTCGCGAGGCCCATGAGATTGCTATAAGCAAACTTCGTCAGGAAATGACAACTGCAGCCGAACTCAAGTTTCAAGAAGGTGTTGACGTCGGTAAAAAGGCAGTGGTTGAATCCGACAAAGTAGTAGGCGCAGATGTAGTGACCGAATGGGATCTAGAGCTAAACGCCGCATTAACGGTACGTTGGGTGATTGACAGAGTAGAAAGCGGCATCTACAGTATTGACGAGCTGCGCATCTTCCTTTTGCACAAAATGGAAAAATATCACCTCAACCCCGAGATAAAAAATGCTCATATCCCGGCCGACCAGGACGAACGAGACTTCGCCGACCGACTTCTGAAGTAGAAGGAGAGTCGGATGTTGGAGTTGGACATGGCGCCGTTGTCGGAGGAGTGCAGGGTTAAGATCCGTCGGGCCTTCGTCAATATGGTCCTCGAAGTGGAAAAAATGAAAAAACCTGACTTGGCGAACATGTGTATCGAGGCGATCGCTGAGGCGTTCGTTGTCGAGACTTTGGAGGGCTTATCCGATGAGGAATTAATGGAGGCAATTACCGGATTTGCCCTGAGGAAAGTGGCTGAGGACGACGCCAAAGCTAAAGGGTGGTTGACCGAACTGATCCCCTCTGACGACGACCGAGTCTTGCACGAGGAGGACGATGTTGTCATTATAAAAGAGAGTGACGTCGTTCGTGCTATGGAAGAGAAGGAGGAGGAGGTGATGCAACGCCTGGGCGAGAGATTGATAACCCATCTGGAGGCGGCGGACAAGAGCAAAGCCGAAGCTGGGAACTCCCAATCTTTCACAGCCGGAGAGGCTTCGTCGTCGGGGACCCAAAAGGATGCATAAAATCTGTTTTGTCTGTTTTTCTTTTTTTTTTTATTGCATGTAATGACAATTTCTTATGATTAATGAAATTTAATGTTTTGGTTTTATGTTTCATGTATGTATTGTTTTGACATTTATTGTACCAAGTCAAAACATGTCGGAGAAAGATAAACGAATGTTTAATGGATCATGCTCGTAATTACTCCGACGGAATACTTAGTATTTACACTTTGCCTTGCTTTGAGTTTGGTTAAATTTTTGGTGTCGGCATGATTTATAGTTTATCCGACATCTGCAAACCTTTATCGGAACAAGTCATAAAAGACTTGCTTTTATTGAAAATATTTATTGTAAGTCGGGATTTGATATTATAGAGCATAAGTCTCCCAAACCAACTTCAGGGTTTGGAAGTATCCGGCTTTGTCGCGTTTGGCCAGGTCATACCATCTTCAGGGTATGAAACACGTTTAGCCTTAGCGACGAGGACCGACTTATTGTGGTCCGAGTGATCGAACAAATTATAGAGGTCCGTCACACAAACTTTATTGATAGCGAAATGTGGTTCTTGTACAAGAGTAGGACAAAAACTTTTTACACGTCAAGGACAGAACTTTGGCCTTCAAGCTTACTGGTAGTACTTCTTCAGATAGGTTGTGTGCCAGGGATATTGAAGGGGAACACCATCTAGAGTTTCGAGTCGGTAGGTACCATTAGAAATCAGACGATTTACTTTAAGGGGTCCTTCCCACTTCGGTTGTAACGGGCCGACATTGGCCCCAGTGACTCTTTTCAGTACAAGTTCTCCTTTGACAAATGAGCGTGGCTTGAGTCTTGAATTGATGTACTTTTCACTACGTCGTTTATAAGCGGCATTTCGAATTTCAGCATCAGCCTGTAACTCATCGATCAAATTGAGACTGGCTTTCAAGTTTGCCGAGTTGGTTTCTTCAGAGAAGTGAGTGACCCGATATGTCGGAGAAGCCAGTTCAACCGGTATCACAGCTTCAGTCCTGTATGCTAACGAAAACGGAGTTTCTCCAGTCGAATTTCTTGTCGTCGTCCGGTAAGACCAGAGGACATAAGGCAACTCGTCAGGCCATGATCCCTTTGCAGCCTCTAGCCGAGTTTTCAGACCATTCTTGATAATCTTATTTACGGCTTCTATCTGTCCATTAGCTTGTGGATGATAAGGTGACGAAAAGAAGTGCTTGATGCCGTAATCTTCACAAAAGCTTTCAAATCGCTTCCCTTCAAATTGACGACCGTTGTCGGTTATGATGAAGTTCGGAATTCCAAACCGACAAACGATTGATTTCCATACAAAATCAATCATCTTCTGTTCCGTTATAGTTGCGAGAGGTTCAGCCTCTACCCATTTGGTAAAGTAATCAGCAGCCAATATTGCAAATCGAACCCCTCCTTTTGCTGTTGGAAGTGGGCCGATCAAATCAATCCCCCATTTTGCAAACGGCCATGGGCTATAAATTGACTTGAGGAGTTCAGGATGTTGATTAATGTTAGGGGCAAATATCTGGCATTTGTGGCATCTTCGCACCCATTCTGCGGCATCTTTCCTGATAGTCGGCCAGTAATAGCCTTGTCGGAGAATCTTGTGGGACAAAGCTTGAGCTCCTTGGTGGGTACCGCAAACTCCTTCGTGTACTTCTTGAAGAACTCGTTGAGCGTCAATCTCTGACAAACACTTAAGCAATGGGGTAGAATATCCACGCTTGTATAACGTTCCCTGATCAATAGTGAAATGAGCGGCACGAACACGAAGAGTGCGAGCTTCTTTTGGGTCTTCAGGTATGGCCCCGGTTTGAAGATAGTCGATGATTGGATCCATCCATGTCGGATCTGAAGTTGGTGGAGCGGCGTCAATCATGACGACGTCGGTAGAGACTGTTGATGAGGTCGCCTGTTGAGTAATTTGCACGAACTCGACATTATTCAAATCGGTCGACGAGGCCAAACGTGAAAGAGCATCTGCCTGAATATTGGATGATCGAGGTATATGTTCCAACGTCATTTTGAACCATGACAGTTTCTTCTTTACGAGATCAAAATAAGGCAACAACCGTGGTTCTTTAACTTCGTAAGTGCCATTGATATGGCTGACTAGTAACTGAGAGTCAGAAAATATTCGTAGAGAGGAGACATTCATGGATTCAGCAAAGTGTAGGCCTGATAAGAGGGCCTCATACTCGGCTTCGTTGTTGGTGGCCGGGAAGGTGAATGCTACAGAGTAGCAAAACACTTGTTGATCAGGACTAACTAAGACAATTCCTCCTCCAGCTCGTATAGCGGTGGACGATCCATCAATGTAGAGAGTCCATGTCGGATCTTCAACGGATGCATTGGCAGTGGGAGTAAATTTAGCATTGAAATCAGACAACACTTGAGCTTTGATAGCGGTTCGTGGACGGTACTGAATATCAAACTGTCCCAGTTCTATCGCCCACTTAATCATTCTTCCCGACGTGTCAGGTCGGTGAAGGACTTGTCGGAGAGGGTATGTTGTAAACACGATAATTGAATGTTCCAGGAAATATGGGCGCAACTTCCGTGCAGCGATGATCAGAGCAAAGGCTAACTTCTCCATATATGGATGTCGCAATTCAGCGTCATGTAAAGCCTTTCTAACGTAAAATATAGGGAACTGTTGAAGCCCGTCTTGTCGTATAAGAACAGCACTAACAGCAACGTTGTTGGAACCCACGAGGATCTCGATATGCACAAATCACGGACAAACATTCAACATAAACCTATGCGCAGCGGATCTAAAGGTTTGATGAAGAAAACTTACTGCTTAAAATTTATGTAGATCTGGCTGGCCCGGACAGATGACCGCAAATCAAATCTTCTCGGAATCGAACAAACTTGACCAATCCAGAAAGCTGACGTCACGGCAAAGTCAACGGCGTTGACCGATCAGAAATCGGAGCGTTCACGCGCTCTCACGCGTGCGCGTTATCCTCGGCAGCTGGAAACTTCCGGCGGCGCGTGGCGGCGCGTGCGGCGG